ACTGATCTTCCATGGGAGTTGATGAGGTTTAGCACGCCGCCGACCGGAACAGACAGGTGGGAATGCCTTGGTGTGGGCCTCGGAGGTGGTGAATGGTGGGTCAGGGTGTTGAAGAAGTCCCGGGTGCGAACCTTCCATCCACTACATCGTGGAACTCCAATGTCGATAGCAAGACTCTCAGCAACCAGAGTCACAGTGGCTTTTTCGCGGGGAAATCCGCGAGAAGTCTGGAAGCGCGTGGTCGTCACCGATGACTGGATCGAAAACAGGGGCTCAGATCTGGAGGGCATCTATGAATGGTGTGGCTACACCTTCTTCTATGTGAAGTTTGAGGCCTTGCCAGAGGGAAGAGCAGGAAATCTTGACCGGCGTGATGTCAGGCCGGGACCACTTCCGCCACCGGGATCGGTGTCTGCAGTCAGGGGCTATGGTAGCTCCAACCCGGTGAGTTCAAGAGCAGCGCAACGAGGTCGAAAGGCCTTACGGGATTCAGAAGTGGCTGAAGAAGAGGACGTCGCCTACGATGGAGGGGGCATCAGTGCATGTGACATTGAGTCCATCGAGGGTGGCACGAAGACGGGCTATGAGCTGAGGCTTCAAGGACTGGAGCGTCGGGGGGAGAGCGGAGACGATCCTGGCCAGGGAGCCAACATGGGGTCCCAGGCGGTCAGTTCAGGTGATCAATTACCTCCCGAGGCTGATCAATGGCCAATTTGGCTGGGAATTGAGACGGCAGTTCCTCCCCATCCCCGCTTTGAAGGCGGACTGCAGGATGAGGATGGTGAGTCGGACGGAAGCTTCGAATTTCTGCACAGCATCAGATGAAAAAACCTGGTGATGTGGCAGCTTGGAATGTGATGGTACGACCATCAGGGGGAGTGTGAATCCCCGCATTTTCACATGATGTGAGCATAGGTGTGACATACACCACTTAGCACCAACAAACGCTGTTCGTGGCTCAAGAAAAGCATCGTCCGTTTTTTTCCCTTGAAGGAAACTCAGATTCAAATTTCCTGCACTATAGATTCTAATCTATTTGGGATTCCATGAAAGCCTAATTTTGATTTGATTTCAGGCTAACTTTAATTTCATTGCTATACAATTCAGATTCATCTGTAATAGTTTATTCTTGTTCAATTTAATTTTAGGTTCTTTATGAAATTCTCATTTACTGCTAGGGAATTGGTGTTGCTTTGAACATGAGAGATTTTATGAAGTTTTTCCAACATGGAAGCATTTGCGTTCTTATATAAATAGATTAAATTCACACCCCCAGCAAAACCCACTCTCTAGAATGAAATCAAAACTCAATTAGAATTCTATTTGCATTGAACTGGAATCAAATTACAGTAGACCTAAAGTAGACATATAGAAGTCAAAATTAAATTGCAATGACAATAGTGTAAAATTTTTAATTGGGCTAGAGTAGAATTGCAGACTCAAATTGAATTCACAAAAATTAGAATTCAATTAGGCTCAACTTAGAATTCAATTAGGCTCAACTTAGAAGTAAATTAGAAGCATGTTGCAGATTCAAATTTAGACTCAAACTTGAATTTAATATTAGATCCAAAATAGTCAAACATAAAAGAATTAAATTAGAAGAAACATTGAAATAGAATTTGCCTATAATGAAGTTTAAAATACATATATAGACTTAATTTAGAATTCAATTAGGCTCACCTTAGAATTAAAGTATAAGTATGTTACATACTCAAGATCGATTCAATTTAAAGTTCACTTAGAGTCAAATTTGAATGCCAATAGTAATAGAAGCGAAATTAGAATAAGAATTGACTTAGAATTTAGCTAAATTGTGTTTAAGTCAAATTTCATAGAATTAAATTAGATTGAATTAGGGGTTAATTAGAAATGAATGATACATAAATGCTGGTGATCAGTAATATTCCAGGATCAAACCAGAACCTTGAGAAAACCAACACAAAAAACACAAGGAAACAAAGAAAGCGACAAGACACTGTAAAAAAAAAAAAAGTTCAGACCCATGGAGAGGGACCCAGGAGAGGCTAGACAGGAGACATAGGTCTGAACTTTTTGTTTTTTCTGAAGTTCTTTTTGGAGGGGGGTTGTCTATTGTTTTCAAAAGCTATTTTGCATTTGCTAAATCACTACTCTCACAAAAACCTGCGTGTCTACAATCTACACCACTCCACCACCCATGGCTGCCCCTTCTGGAAATTAATCCCACTCGTTCAATGTATTTCAATGGTCCAGCTTCTGTACTTCTAGTGTATTGCCTTCAAGGGCAAATCAAAGATTGCCACCACCCATTGATTGTGAATGTTGATTTCATCCTTTTCTCTCCCCACTTCTCAGATCTTGCAACTTCTATGTCCACAATTTGGACTGAACAGACAGCCAAGACCAGAAATGCCCACATTTTCTCACACTAATCCTGCAAAAAAAGGTACAGTGTCGCAAACCTGTCGAGATATCTCATGCGATCCTGTGAAGCAATGCTATGTTTAGAGACATCCGCTTCTGCTTGAAGACACCTATCTGAATGTGTCCTCTTCCGGGCATAACAGGCCTTCTACAAACAAAGCTTAATCTACAACTTGCAACAAAACGCTCAGAGACCAACGTTCAGAGATATATACCTTGCTTTAAGAACCTCTTCCCCATTGAAAGGCATCCGTTTGCTTGAAAGACTCGAGCTTGCCTTCAAGGACAGCGGCTAAAGACAACTGTTGAGGAACAGATTTCAATCAACATGTTGCTTCTAAATAGATAGGGTGCCTTCCAGCCAAAGTGTTTGTATTTTCTTGGCGAGGATCTCTTCACATACATGCAGGTGTCTCAATGCAAAACAAGAATGCAGTAATGCTGACAGGCAAATGTGCCTGCACATTGGAAATTGGCACGTTACGACAGAAGAGAGCAGCTTACAGTATATAAGCACTTCTGTCTTTTCTGGCAGAAGAGGGTGCCTTGAAATAGACACATGTGTTTGCGTCTGAATGTAGAAGGCCGTCTTTACAACACGGGAATGTGTGCAGGCAATGTATCCCTTCAGCAAGTGCAAAAGGGCATCTTGGAATGGAACAGTGCATTTCAATTCACTAGTTTAGTTTGTTTGGAGAGGAGGGCGTACCTTTGAACAAATCAATTAATCAATGCATCTAAATAGAGCAGTATATCCAATATCTATACATAGAAACTGCCTCTATTTATGCCAGAGCATATCCTTACATGCAAAAAGGTGTATATCTAGTACAGGACTTTGTCCTTTGGGAGAAGGAGATTGTAGAAGCAGGATACAATGGATTTAGAAAGATAAATTTTATTGAATTATAATCTGGAACATCTGTATGGAGCCAAATGGCAAAACGTGTCGAAACCTTTTAATACAAGCTATATAGCTTTTCTTTGAGACTTTGAATGTCCGTGGCGCCAAGTATATCTGTGGGCGGCTTGTACAGGGAGCTTTCAGTTGGTGGAAGATGCCCGCAAGAGACTTTAGAAAAGTAGGATATTCTGATATTATGGAAAAGACATTGCTGCATCTTCCAAGAAATAACAGTCTTGCTTTACACGTCCAGGGCCAGGGTTGATCCTGATACTAGCACGTGAATAGGCACATCGTGCCAACCGTCGAAAGCTACTCTCAAACATTCCAAAATGGAATGCGACATTCTCAGAAACATTGCAAACCGTATGCTTCCATTCTGAATACATTCTCTCGCTGCACTTCTCTGCTTCCCGAGTTTCAGCACGGGCAAATATACTGAACATCAGCAACAAAGGCAATCCAGACCTTCTCAAAGTCGACTTACATTCACACCACGCATGTCTCTTTCTACAAGGCTTGGCGACAATTCCTGTGGTGGAGAAAAGAATGTCACAGAACAAAGCGCGCCACGTCCTCTTCCTGCTATTCAGAATCTACTCTATATCAGTTGTGAGGAGGAAACAGGTGCACAATAGAGTTTCTGCAACGTATGAAGTCTCTCAGTCTGCATTGATCCTCCAGATCCGAGCTTTTCTATAGGATTGGAATCGCATTCCGGTTGTTTGTCAGCTGTGTGAAAGCTTGGCAATGTAAAGAATCGTTGTACAGGTTCGTGGTGCTGTGATTCTGTTTTGATATCGAATGTCTTCATGGCAAAATGCTATTCAGAAGCATGAACAAACAGAAATGACCCATCAGCACACAGCACGCACAAACCCGGCAAAGCTGCACGGGAATCAAAGTCATGGAAAGGTGCACGATTGACAACTAGTGCAATGCGTCCTAAGGAAAGTTCTCAGCACTGCACATTCCATTTCACACGTGTGCAATGCAGTCAAATAGTAATTGTTCCCGCGGCACCTTGGCCATCCCACTCTCCACAACAAGCAGATTGAAAACAACGCACCAAGTGTGCCGCAAGCCGCACACGTGGAAACACTGAGGCCATTGCAAGCTGGCATAGGTTGCATTTATGCACGAGTACATTTGCGGAGGGCATGCTTCACACTTTCGGCCAATGTCTCCTGAGAGAAAAATGACACATGGATTCAACATGTCATTACAAGGCAAATGTCAACAAATGAAATTGAAATTGAAGCTCCAAATATACCCCTTATGAGATTGTCCGCCCTCCCTGCCACTGGCGGTCATCGCTTGCGCGATTAAATCTGTTGAGCTGGATTTTTGTGTGTTTGCAGTTTTAAAGTTTAAGAGTGCAAAGTTGCTTTTGTCTTTTGCTCCATTCTGGCTCTTTTGCACCGCAACCTCCCCAGACCCCAGCAAGGCACACGAACAAACATCATTTTACTGCAAAGTGTCTTCTGAGCAAATTGAAGTGGATGTGTATATACACATAAGCTGGTTTGTAGAAGCTGAAGCGCTTCAAGCAATATGAGAAATTGTGTTGCCTGTACTTCATCCGGTCGCCGGCTCCGGGGAACGCCGTGCTATCTTGAGAAACAAAACCGTGCCTTAATTTAAAAAAAGAAACATGTGGATGTGTGTTGGATTTGCAAGCTTGACAGGTTCACTTTTTGTCCACAGGCCCCAATACGTTGAACAACCTGCTGTGCCCTTTTTGGATTCTGCAAGTTGGTGTGTGCTGTCTAGAAAAACATATATAGTTAGCATGCGACCCTATACTATCAAGGAAACTTGCCTTCAGAACTTCAGACGGTTTCTTTTGTAATGTCATCTCAAAACAGGCTAGGCACCTTTTGGCGACGCATCCAAACGGGGGCAGGCAGCAGTCTGGCCCCCCCACCAGAAATCTACTGTATGCAATTCCAACCTGAAGAACACAATTTGCAGAAGTCAAAGAACACCGATCCGATCTCATTGCAATCTCTGCCAGTGCCAGGATGTGCCAGGTGTTTCCAGCTCCAGCCACACAATATGTGATCAAATTTTAAAAAAAACAGAATCCTGCTAAACCTGTAGTCAAAGGTATCCAAAAGGTAATCCACTGGCTTCATTAGGGATTGGGGTTGTGATTGCCTAGTGCCCCTGCCAGCGCAAGGTCCCTTGCTGAAGCGGGTTTTGTCCAAGATTCCAGTTTCAGGAAAACAATGAATGATCACCTTGCCTTCCACCAAACTTGCCGTGGAAAGGTCTGGTAAGGAGAGATCGGAGAGAGCATGACAAAACAATTTCCGTAAAGTGACACAAGGTTGAACATATCGTTCGTTAAGGCTTCTGCGCTGCAATGTTTCTTGAAACAAGTCACATGGCCATGACAGCTCGATACGGCCCATACGTTTGTCTACTAGCCTCCAAGTGTTGTTCTACTCATCTCTATTTTGCTGTGCGCGTAGTCCTTGGAATGTCCTTTGCGCTTTCAATTCGGCAAAATGAACATTTGTAGCATCCTCTATTCAGGTGCCCACCAACAGATCGCGAAGCCCGAACGCGGGCCCGGGCAAAGACTTGGTGTGCAAGAGGAAGTGATGGGGTAACATCCGGCAAAGATCAATTTCATGGGGCGAAGTTGACATCGCAGCCACACTGATAGGGGTAGAAATGGAAAGTAGAAACATAGGTCTGGGATGGTCTGGGGGGGGGTGCCATTTTTCGCCCCGTTCAGGGGTGATTTGGAGGTGAAAAAGGGCGCCCCTCAGGAAGTGAGGCGCGCTTGCTGGCGGCGTGTTGCGAATCAGTGAGTAGAGACGGCGATGCGGGTTCATGCGCGAGGCAATGGATAGGGTAGGTGAAGAGATATGCTACGAGTAGAAAGGGGTACCCCTAAGCTATTCAGGACCTTCTGTTAATCTTAAACTTGCCCGCTCTTCTCTCTCCTGACCAAAACAACCCCCAGTCCACGTGAACTCCCACCGCATAGGGGGTGCCCTCTTCGCGGTTCTCGCAGGCTCTCAACAGATGGCCCCCATATGGGGCGCCCTTTTGAGTCCAGTAAGTTGACCTTGCCGCAGAGAAAAGAAGGGCCCCTAAGCAATTCAATACCTTCCGCCTCCAACGCTTGCCCGCTGCAATCTCTTCTCTCTCCTGCCCTCCACCACGCAACCCAACAACTCCAAATCGTCTGCCTCCAGCGCTTGCCCGCTGACCTTCCACCTCTTACGGTTGCCCACTGCAATTTTTCTCTCTCCTGCCCTCAACAGATGGCATCACGCACCCCAGGTGGAGTGCCATGTTCAGTCTGGCAACTTCCTAGCAATTCATCGCTTTCCTTCTCCAAGCCGTTCTCTCGCATGTCCTCGACAGATGGCACCACGCACCCCATCTGCGATTCCCTTCTGAGTCCAGCAACTGACCTCGCTACGGAGAAAAATGGAGCGCCCCTAAGGAGTTCAAAACCTTCCGCTGCTTCAACAACCCCCCAATCCACGTGAACTCCCACCGCAGTGGTCCAGAAGGCGCTGAATAGCTTAGGGGTGCCCTTTTTTTTCGTAGCAAGGGGCCTGCCAGAGAACCGAACTGAAGAGGGCACTCCCTATGTGGTGGGGTTGGGGGCAGGAGAGAGAAGTGATTGCAGCGGGCAAGCGTTGGAAATAGAAGGTTCTGAATAGCGTAAGGGTGCTCTTTTTTGTCCGTAGCAAGGTCTAGACTGAAAAGGGCCCCCCTAGATGGGGTGCATGATGCCATTTGTTCAGGGCCTGCGAGAGAACCGAACTGAAGAGGGCACGCCCCATGTGGTGGGAGTTCACGTGGAACGGAAGGTTGTTGACGGCAGGCAGCAAGCAAGCGGAGGCGGAAGGTCCTGAATAGCTTAGGGGTGCCCTTTACAATTCGTAGCAAGGTCTAGTTGCTGGATTGAAAAGGGCGCCCGCATGATGCCATCTGTTGAGGGCCTGCGAGAGAAGCGGACTGAAGAGGGCACTCCATATGTGGTGGGGTTGGGGGCAGGAGAGAGAAGCGATTGCAGCGGGCCATTTGTTCAGGGCCTGCGAGAGAACCAAACTGAAGAGGGCATGTGGTGGGAGTTCACGTGGAATGGGGGGTTGTTGAAGGCAGGAGACAGAAGAGATGGCAGTGAGCAAGCGTTGGAAGCGGAGCCCTAATTCACGTGGACTCCCACCGCATACGGAGTATCCTGTTCAGTCCGACAGCAACGCTTAGCTTTGCCGCAACTACAATCTGTTCTCTTTCCATTGCCTCCTGAGCCCCTCGTGATGCTGATGATGCACTCTTCGCCGTCAATTCTTCACTACCAAGTGGCCCACCTCTTTTTGTCGCTCTCCCCCACCAGGCTCTGGGTTCGCCTTTCCGAAATGTAGCCACCACGCAACCACCCTCCCACACCCCCTTTACTCACTTCGTTCGCTCCAGCAACCTCAAGCCCAGCCTACCGGCTGGCTTCCGTGATGATTTGTTACGCACCCAGAATTCTACAGCGCAGCCGGCTTTCGAGTTTCTTTCTTGGACATTCTCCAAACCTTCAAAGGAAGTTGCGCAAACAACGGGATGTCGCGTGTGAGAAAGGATGCTGCAAAAACTGCTTTGATAAACTTACAGTAAGATGTCACAACGAGCTCTGGGGATTGGAGGGTGCTATGGACCAGCTTCTTTCTGTGGGGAAGGCGGTGGTTGTAGTGTTGCTTCTGCATGTCCTGTATTGGCTGCACCTTTTATGTGTATGTGGCGTGGGGTCGAACCACTCCATTGTGTGTAGGTAATCGATGGACAGCGCCATCCACGTTCGAGTGCTTTGTTGGATGCTTTGACTGATACGATCAGAAGAGTCTGACTCCTGTAGGCTTTAGCTTGCAACAGTGAGCTCCCAAGTGCTTTAATGCAGCGCAATGTTTGTTCTTGCGAGGGGGGGTGTAAGTTGCACAAATCCGTTAGTACCTGATCTGCTCGCGCGATCAGAAGTTGCAGATAGATTTCTGCACTCACTATGGTTCCGCATTTGTAAGTCGCGATACAAATCATAGCATTCAATGGCCCCCAGCTACCCGGAAGTGGTGATGCTGCTTTTGGTCGCTGAACAATTTCGGTTGTCTTATGCTTTCTCACAAGGGATTTCTGTCTATCCATGTGAAGCTCGGGCATTGTATGCCCTCTGGTCGTAGTTTTGCAGCAATTTTTTTGCATATGGTGTGATTTGTTTTGTTCGGCCCAGTTTGCCCAATAAGCGGAAAGGTGCATGTGATATTGACATTAATGAGCTGCAAACAGAGTCTTCAGCAAGCACAACAGGAAAAGACCACCCACATGGAAGCTGGCTGAAGTGGTTTTTATCCAGTTCAATCAGGCGTAAAGTGGACTCAAATCAAACTCAGTTTCGCTTTGTCTGCATTGTTTTGGTATGTCTTGCGCCTCAGGTCAGCAGTACACACAAAAACCCATTGGCTCCTGTGCCCGTCATGTAGGTTCCAGCCGGACAAGCAAAGCGACAACTGGAGTCAAAAGGATTCAAGTAAGCACCTCCCTTGCAAGTCTTACATTCCTGAGACCATCAAGAACAAAGTGAAAAGTCTCTCGTTCACCAAATTTGCCTGCAAGATTGCATCTTCAGCAACCACGAAAAAACACTTACACTTTGCAGTTGCTTGCTCAAGACCGTACAGTATATGAAACTCGGCCACGTAGCTGTAGCGGACAGGCAGGTTTCGCATGGTGCCACACAGCGCTCGCACGTGCCCCCCACAAGTGGACCGTTCTCATCCAGGGCGACACCTGCAACTTGAACCGAGGTATTTGAAAATTTACCCTCCCTGGTCAATGGTGCAACCCTCTTTGGAAACACATGTTTGCAGCCACTATCAAAACAATGTGTTCTCACACATATTCCCCATTTCTTTGTGCGAGGTTCTTACTTTCATCTGCGCCCCGTCGCCCGCTCCTCCGCTCCGCCGGGAGGTTCTGCTGACACTGTGGGTGGTTTGGGGCTGGCGCCCTCTCCCCTTCCATTCCCCTGCGTCTTCCTTCCTTCCTTCCTCTTCAGGGGATAGGAGGATTGCATCCAATCTAGTCTGTGGCACCTGTGGCGAAATTACGTCTGTCACGTCGCAGTCCCACCCGGGTTGGCGCGTGGCTCCGCGCCGTCAAGGAACGGAAAACATTCGTGTACGTGCGCGTGTGTAGAAGGCTTCTCCCTGGAAAATCTGTCCCGTCGCTTTGGCAGGTGTTGCATATTAGACATGTTGGGCCCAAGTTCGCCAGAATTGGCCACTAGCGCAAAGTCACCCCAAACATCCACTGGCGTGTCATTTCACAGGTAAGAAAAGACGGACCTGTGGCTTGGGAAGCCCGTTATTGCAAGGCTCGCACCAAGGGCGTTGGGCGAGCCAAAGGCAACGCGAATCCTAGCACCCAATGCTGCATGTCATTCATGACCCGCCAGCCTGAATGAGGGTAGTATCCATCAATGCAGCTTGCTGAACAACGGCCACCAGCAGGAACCTCCGGGTGGGAAAATGAAGTATATCAGTATATCCTCATCCTCGATTAGATTATATTGTGTTCATTTCTCCTATTGTTGCATGCTGGTGTTACATAAAGTCTGCAAGTGAAAACGCTGGCACGTTTTCAGCAAGAAATGAGCCGAGCACAAGGTACTGTTGATCCCCACAGCATTGAAGAGCAAAGGATGCCTTTGCTCAATGTGAAATGGTCTTTCATGAGCCAGTTGAGGGTGGTAGAATTAAAGACGAGGGTAAAGGCAGCTGCAACCAATCTTATATAAATCTCAAAGGGCAAGACACATTCTTGCAAAGTGCAAAGTTGTCGGGACAGGCTTTGCACAGCCTGCCTTTGTCTCCTGCGCCCGTCATGAAATGGTCTGTCCTTATCTTGAGCCAGAGACAGTGACACAACACAGCCAAGGTGGTCTTGAAAAACATAGAACATATTCTTCGAACAGAATTCTTGCCAAAGTATCGGGCAGGTGAAGGAGCACTCGGAACTGATGGGATCCAAAAACGTGCCTCCTTGCAGCATAGTGTTTCACAGGAAATTAATCTGGGAACAGACGCTGCAATGCTCAAAGACTCACGGAGACTCAAGGCTTTCCTTGGCATTTCAGGCATTCTGTGGCTGATTTGCAAACGCTACAGCTGCCAACGCCTTGGGTCAGCATTACTCGAGAGGTGTATGAGCACACGCAGCCAAAAGACAGCCCCCCGGAGAATGTTGCGTCGAAAGTTGTAAGTGTTAGTCATACCTTTTGTGAATAAAATATTCCTGTTTTCGCTTGTTTGGAAGCCAAGTGACATTTTTCGCAAGTGCCACCAATGAGAGGCCCACCTACCTCGAGTTGAACACCCGGTTGCCTGTAGTAGCCTGAGTGAAAATTCTCGGGTGTACATAGCTATGTATGTGTGCGCAATTATGTCTGCCTTACAGCATCCAACTTCAAAAACAGCACCTATATATATATACCTGAGAAGGGGGAGGACGAAAACCAGCTGCTTTTCCGACGGCGGCTGCAGGGCTGAGGTCGGGGATCGTCGCGGCAGCTGCATCCAGAGAAGGTTCGGGAGAAGGTACCGGGGCAGGTCCATGAGGAGGTTCTGGAGAAGTTTCGGGAGCAGGTTCCAAAGCAGACAAGGCTCCAGAGGAGGGTGTGGACAGCGAAGAGATTTTCCGAATGGCGCTTCGTGCTGTTGGGGACTTTCCTTGGGCTTATGCCACTGATCCGCCCAAAATATAACCATACGTCGCAGCTACACCTCTCTTCCCAAAGACATAGAGACACAGAACCATAGAGACATAGAGACACAGAGTCATAAAAACAGAGACATAAAACACAGAGAAGTTGCTATCTACAAGGGGTCCTTTTCTGATAGCAACTTGTCGCTGCCAACCAACTACCATACTTGCCCCAATACATCCAACCAG